CACCCCTCCCCCGCCCCGTGCCAGATGCCAGTTTTCCTCCCTGAGACAACTACCAGGTTCTTGTGTATCTCTCCCAGATACATTTCTGAGCACATTTGCATCTCTTCCTTATATTTTATTTTCATAGTTTTATTTATTTACATTTTAAACAGAGAATCTATTTATATGGACCAACTTTCATATGTTTTTAAGGCATCTTTCCAAAGATAATGTATACACATATTATGTGTAGTTCTCCTTTTTTATGTTTTTCACATAAAAGGCAGCAAATTATGCACAAAGTACAGGCAGACCTTATTTTTATTGCACATACAGATACTGCTTTTTTTTTTTTTTTAACAAATTGAAGGCAAGATACTCCACCAGCAAAAAGACGACTACTCACTTTATTGCAATGGACTGCGACCAAACTGGCAGTGTCTCTGAGTTGTGCCTGTATTGATCTTGCCTTTTTCCCTTAGTATAGACAATCTTTCTCATTCTTTTTTGTGGCTACATAGTATTTCATTGCTTGTCTAGACCATAATTTGTTTACCCAGTCTCCTCTCTGCGTTCACTTAGGTTGTCTGTTACGATATGCTACAGGACTAAGGGTGGGGTGAAGCAAGGGAGGTGTCTAGGGAGCAGCACTTAAGGAGGTGTTTGCTCCCAGGGCCATGCAGGTGCAGGGCCAGCCCTTGCACAGACCTGAGGGTGAGGGTCTTCTTAAACCTTGCACGTACTCCCCTCATCCTACTCCTAGCCCTGCTCTGCTCTTACAAACAGGCTGCAAGAATAAGTCTTGTTTGTACATTATTTTTCACATGTATTGTTTTCACACCAGATGTTAAAATGTTAGGGTCAAAGTGTATGTGGGTCTTTAAATTTGAATAAAGGAAACCAGCCAACACTATAAGAGACGACCTGTTTGTTTCCCCGTACCCTGACCAACAAATTGTATTAGCAACACTTTTCGGTTGTTGCCAGTTGGACGGGTAACACATCAGGGAACACGTGGCCAAGCCCACTGTTTATGAGACTAGACCCGAAAGCACAGTCTTGCGTCTCAGCATAGAAACGTACGGAGTTGCCTGCAGGACCCTCTCTCTCCCCCATCGTGTTCGCCCTGCGTGTGCTCTTGGCTCTGATGAGGACATGGTGTGTGTACCCATTTCCGGTCATAGCTGAGAACACCAGCTTTGGAGTCAGGCTGCTTAGCCCAGGTGGGCCTGAATTTAGGAGGACCATATTTCACAAATAGAAATATAAGAATACACATACTGCATGGGGCATACTAATAGTAAAATATTATCCGTTTGAAATTCCATATGCCTGGACATCTTGTATTATATCTAGCAGCCCTACCTGGGTTAAAATCCAGCAAGCATCTTGTAAACTCTGTGGCCTTGAATGAGAGTCTCACCCATGCCTCAGTGTCCCCATTTGTGTTATTTATTCTGCAGCATTGGATCTTGTAGGAGCAAATGAGAGAATCTGCATGAGGCACTCAGCTCGGCGCTGAGAACACGACAGGCAGTCCAGGATGTGAGCTCTTCGTATTGCTCTGGCTACACACTCTCCACCGCCCCTTCCCGGGGTGGCAGGCTCTCTTCGGACCTCGTGCCTCATCCTGCTATTTCTTTGCCTAGGACTCCTGCCTTCTTTCTCAGCAGGCCCCAATGCATCGCAGGCCTTTTGATGTTGGAATGTTGCTTTCTCTGGGAAGGCTCTCACCCTTCTCAACTGTGTAGGTTACCCTCACCCTGTGCTTCCACAAGGCCTGATGCACCTATCACGCAACTTCACAACTCCTGTGATGCACACGGTCATCGCCTTTTTCCATGTCTGATCCCCCGTCTAGACTTGAGCTCCATAAGAACAAAGATAACTCACTTCTTTTGCTGGTGTGGCCATGACCTAGCACACAGTAGGACAGCAAATGTGTTGCAAAAATGCCCAGCTGAAGACAGATAATTTCCGTTCTTCTAACCCAAGGATAACTGGGGCGTTTTAGATTTTGTCTCTGGCTTTGAAAGAGCAGTGACTGTATTTGGAGTTTAACTATGAAACTTCTATTAATTTTTCATTACATTGTATATTTAAAATCCTAAATGAAACTGAAGATTTAGCGGCATAGCCACCGGTGCCAGAGTTCAGATTATAAAATGGAATCTTGAAGTAAAAAGAGGTAGTCATTCTAAATAAGACCTTTTCATGCATCTGACCCCCAGCAGCTCTAAACAGAAATGAACTGTGGTCATTCCTCCCCTGAGGGCACTTGCAGTTACCTAAGGTGAATCTGCTTATAAATGTCCTGGAATTTCTTTGTCCCTGGACATTGCATTGTCTCTTGTCAGCATCAGCCTTGAGCAATGTCATTCGTGTACCAGCTGCCTAGTACTACCGTGGCAAATTGTATATTCCATCATCATGTATGTAGACATAGTAGCACCAAGGCTGGCTCTAAAGAACATAAACACTAGAGAGATCATCACTTTGGGGGAAAAGAATGTTTGGAACACCGTGGCCAACAGTGACAAGTACAGACAATGACGGACATTTACATATTTTCTCTTCTGTGTTTTCTTACACAAACAGGACAAAGCTTACACATAATTTACATGGTCTTTTTTTCTTTCCATTTCTTATATCACAGCCCTCTTCTAGTTTTTATCACCTCCTGCCTGAAACCATAAAAGCGCCTCTCTGCCAGTCCCTCTCCGTCTGTTCACTGCCCGCCAGCCATCCCATCTGCCTGTAGCAGTGAATCTTTATGAGGACATAGTCCTCTTAACATGACCCCCTTCTCAGAACACATCCGGGCTCCCACACCCTCACTGCCTCCCTCCCCTTTGTAGTGCAGGCGCACAGGTGGTCGGGACATTACTTTCAGCAGTACCTTTAATCTGGGTCACCGTCCCGTCCGAGAGCAGCCAGGCCGTGGATGTGTCTGCGGTGACAGAAACCCAAACAAGCCTTCCTAAAAAGCTGTAAGCTTCTTGGGTGGTGGACCTTGAGCGTAGCTCTCCTGGATTCCACTGTTACCCAAAGCTGATCCTGAAATTCGCATGGAAGTTCAGGGGACCCTTGCAAAAGGAAGGACACAGTTGGAGGACTCACACTTCCTGATTTTAAACTTACTAGAAAGTTACAGTAATTGAAACACAATGGTACTGGCACAAGGATAGACTTATAGGTCAATGGAGTAGAAGTGAGAGTCCAGAAATAAACCTTCATATTTAGGGTCAATTGATTTCTGACCAGGTTGCCAAAACCATCTGGTCTTTATAGCAAGCGGTGCTGGGATGCTGGATACCCATGTGCAAAGAGTGGCTCCACGACCTTCCTATCTCTGTATTTGTTTATTTTATTAGGATTAAATAAAAAACATTTCGGTGACGTATGAAAATTCTCAACTCTTAGGCATCTGACAATGTAGTTAAAAGTAAATGAACACAAAAGTTGGCAGAATTTCAAGGAGAAACGGATCAATCCAGTTGCAGTGGCAGCGTAACCAAGTCTTTCAGAAATAGATGCAGATCCACAGGCCAGAAGTAGAGAGTAATGACTGAGATCTGCGCACACCACGGACCAGTGTGACTGGGCGGGAAGTGGAGGAGCTGTGCACGAGGTTAGAGAATGCGCGCTCTCCGTGGGCTCACGTGGGATATTTGGAAAACTGGCGCCTGCTTGGCTGTACCGGAGATCTCGCTACTGCTACTCTCTCTGTCATCAGAATCTCTGAGATGGTTCTGTGTTTCCCTCCGTCTCTTTCCTACGTTGTTGCTTCCAGTTCCTGTTTCACCTCTGCCTATTTTATGACCACCTAGATGAATTTCTTCATTTCTGCTTTATGGGCTTTCTTAGCTGCAATTGCTTCATAAAGACCTTTTGCTTTCTTTTTAATTCATAACAGAAATAAAATGTTGGGTGCCGTTTTCGCCTGTGATGGCGACCTTTTTCAAGTGAGTTTCCATCATCCCTCGGGCAGTTGGGCTGCTCTTTCATCATTTCTCTTACGCTGTCTTTGCACAGTGCTGAGCATGTTCACCGGGACTAACATGGCGCGGGAAGGTGTCCACTCTCCACTTGGCCGCATAACATTCGAAACAGTGGGTGTGCATCTGTCATTTACTTGACGGGTTCTCTGAGCCCCCAGTTTGAAGAGAAGACTTTGTGTCTTTGGCTCATAGCTCACTCCCAGTAACTAAATCAGTGCCTTATACATAGCCTACACTCAGTAAATATTTGTTGAATAAATTAGCACAGAGGGGCTCAAAAAACAGCTGTGGAATTGAATTGGTCATTTAAAAACCCATTTATTAAAGTTTTAATGCATTATGATAGGAAGTGTGGAAGCCTGGAATCTGAGGGAAGAGAGTACCCACATACTTTCCAACTCTCTAGCTAAATAATCATCTCCATACTGAATCCTATGCCGGGGATACACTTACCATTAAGACATTGAGCCCTTGCACTTTTACACACCATTAATGGGATATGTGTGCTGGGCATTTGGCAAGGTGCATGTGCCAGTTGATCAAGCCACTCAGGTTCTAAGAATTTCTCCCATGGAGGTGCTCACATGGTCTGTGAAGCCATGTGTACACTGTGAAAAACTTTGGTTTGGGGCTGATGTTCAAAGCTGGGTCCACACACCTAGGGATGCACATTATGACCCACTGAGATGGGGCAGCAGAGTTACAAATATTTATATTTGTTTTTCATCTAAATGAAAGATAGAAATCAAGCGTCACTCACACTTACTGTCACCACACCGCCACCATCATCGTCAGCAACGCTGGGTCGGAGGGCCACTTAGTCATGAATCCCAGGGCATCCCGGGGGAAGGACAGTTCACCCAGGAGGGGACGGTCTCCAGCTCAACTCACTTATTGATTTGCTTTAGCATATGATTACTGCCCAGATGAATGGATTTCTAGATTATTCCCTCTTATTTTGTGTTAGTAAATGCAAAAACAACCTCGGCCATTTCAGAACGTGACCCACACTTTTTCTAGGGATGCCGTGGCGTAAGGAGCAGACGGAGGACCTGCAGCGGGTGCTCAGGAATGTGGACAGCGAGATCCCACTGGTCCTGGTCAGTGGCAACCACGACGTGGGCAACACCCCCACCCCTGAGACCATAGCAGAGTTCCAGCAGACTTGGGGAGACGACTATTTCAGCTTCTGGGTCGGGGGTGTCCTGTTCCTCGTCCTCAACTCTCAGTTCCTGTACGACGCCTCCCAGTGCCCTGCCTTGAAGCAGGCCCAGGACCAGTGGCTGGACCAGCAGCTGCGCGTCGCGGGGCAGCAGCAGTGCCAGCACGCCGTCGTCTTCCAGCACATCCCGCTGTTCCTGCAGAGCGTGGACGAGGACGACGACTACTTCAACCTCACCAGGGCCGTGCGCAAGGACATGGCAGACAAGTTCGCCCAAGCAGGTAGCAGCAGGACCCCGGTGTCGGGTGGAAGGGTGGTCTGAACGCGAGGTTTCCCGATCCTTCTCCTGCCCCTGTAGAGCCTGGCAAAGGGGAGAGAGGATGGGGCTTTAGACAGAACTAGATTCTGATCCTGGCTCTGTCACTCACTGGCTGTGAGGCCTTGGGCAAGCGGCTAGACCTTCCCAGCCTCAGTTTCCTCATCTGTAAATAGGATTAGTGGAAGTAACTCTCACAGGCTGGTTGTAAGGGTTAAATGAGAAGAGGCTGTAAAGCATTAGAATAGCTGTCCTAAAGTTGTGGTAACTGCTCATAGCTGAGGATGGGGGCCCTGCAGGTGGGGTAGGGTCTTATGTGACTATATGTGCCCCCAGGAAAAAGGGAGGTGCCAGGGGCACCTTTTCTCATTTCTCGGAGGAGCAGAAACTTGCCCAAGGGCAGGTGATCTTTAAGAGCCAAGCTTCACACTCCTTTAAGTGTAACCTGGGAAATCTTGGGGTCAGGAGGGAGGCCACAATGGGCCTGGGGTCACATCGGTTTTCCTTCAGAGAGGTCAAGTTCTCCTCCAGAACCAGGAGAGAGAAACCTGCGGGGTGTGATCTTACACCAGAAGCACTAGTCTGCTGTCATCTGATCATGCATTTGACGCGTGCCCGCACACTCACACCCGACGCGGGTGCTCCCTCTGCAGGACCCGCTTCTGGGGTGTTCTGCGTGGCACCAGCTCACACACCTCTTCCCCTCCTGGGAGCACCTGCAGTATTTCTCCCACGAAAAATGCCACTTCTGAGCCGATCCGTTGAAGTACCAGTGACTTGCCAGGATTCCAGTTTTGACCATTGTTGTGTCTCTCGTTTTGGTCCTAATGCCTCTGTGTAGATCTTTCCAGAGTGTGCTTCGTCCGCTTTTCTAAACTTTAAATGTATTGGCTAGGTGGTGAGGAGAGCGAGGTGGCCTCACCAAGTAGCATTCATTAGAATTAAAAAAAAAAAAAAAAATCCTAACACTCTTTTTTTCATCTTTGAGCATTAAATGAGTTTTCATTTACTTGTGAAAAGTACAATAGGCCCTTCTGTAGTTTTGAGACATTTTACAAAATAAAAATTTAAAAAAGCTTGTATAATTGGAGACATTTTCCCACTGTTCCCTGGAGATGAAGTTCGGAAACTTATTCTGAGGTCTTTGAAGTTTTGTGCCATGCTTGAGTTGGCCTAGAAAACTGTTTGATGACAAGGAAATAAAGTGTCAAGATGGCATCGGCACCACCATGGAGACTGTTTGTAGCCGAGAGTAATGTCAGAGGACATTCAGTGCCACTGAAAGGATTCCTTTCGTGTCAAACGTGAAGTGACGCAAATGCGGTCCCCTCGGCGGCCCTCTGTTCCCCGTTCGTGTCAGCCGCAGCCTTGAGTGGCATGTGGTTCGGGGCCTCCCATCGCAGGGTGGAGCACGTGCAGACCACCAGCACCCCCAGATAGAAAGACCTGTGGATGGCTATAAAAAGAGAGCCCACAGCTCTAACAGGGCATCCTCGGGGAAGCCTGCTGCCCACCCCCCAGGAACCCCGGAGGCTGGCATCATACCTGGGCTGCACCGGCCACCTCCCCTGTCAGGCCTGCAGCCCTACAAGCTCAGGAAGGATTGTTGGCACACCAGAGCTGGTCAGCGTCTCGGACGTGGACTCCACCTGCCCCGGCTCACAGAGACTAATATCTACCACCAGAATGCCAAGTAAATAATGTAGGGCAACACGGAAACCCTCCCCTCGGCCCCAGCAGCACAGCCTCTTCCCAAAGGCAGAGCGATATGGGACACCAAATTATAATCAGGAGGTTGCTTGCTAAGCAGGGCGCAGAGCAGGGAGCTAGGGTTCTTATTCCACTCGGAGTGGCATCAGGCTCTGGAACCTTGATGGGCTGTCTCCAGGAGGGCCTCCCTGCCCAGGAAGACTCTGATAGGTCTTGTGCCTTTAATCCTGCTTCCTTGACATCTCTCCAGCCTGTCCACGTCTTTAGGCCACCAGCGTCTGTCATCTGGGTTATGCCAGCAGCTCTGAACTGGTGCCCCAACCCCTCCTCCCAGTTTCAGTCCATCCCTGCCTAGCCACCGGAGGGGCATGTGGCTCCACGGCCTCCACCATCTGAGCTCCCCTCACCCCGAGTAAGGTCTGCTCCTCACCCTTCCCCATCATCTCTGCCTCACCCATTTCACCAGGCCAACTCCTGCTTTACTCTGACACTCTCAGTATGAGGTGCCCCCCGGCCCCATCCCACATCTCAGCTTTCCTTGATCCCAGAGGATTTGTGTGTCTTTACTTGTCTGAATCCCCCACTAGACGCTTAGCTCCTTGAACACAGAAACACTGTTGTAGTCACCTCTGCGCTCAGGAGGCCTGGCTCAGGTCAGCTGGTAATAAATGTCTCCTCAATGTTTGTGGGATGAATGAAGGACTGACAGACTCGCACTCCTTCCCTCGGTGACTGGCCGACACTGTGCCAGCGCAGAGCAGACCAGGTCCACGCGTTTGCAGAGCTCCCGGCATAGCCTTTCCAAGGCTGTTCCGAGTGTCAGCACCCATCCCGTGGCCTCCAAGTCCCTTGGTCTTGTGCGTCTTTCTGCTCTGATCCACCTGCTGGCTGTGCAGGCTCACTAAGCAGTCAGTTTCTCTCTTCACAAGTGGCCCCTCAGCATTCCCACCAGGCCCCACCTTTACATGTGAGAAGGCATCCTCTTGGCTGCTGGCCTTGGGATCTTCACCTTGACCTGCTTACAAGGAAAACAAGAGAGGTAGGCACCCTTCCTGCAGTCACTTGTCAGTTTTGGTGGCCTAACCAAACCACACCCTTTGCTTAATGGCCTTTCAAACACAACACAAACCATGGGCGACATCAGGAAGAGATTGGATCAGATGTGGACACAGCTCTGGTAGGCTGTGCCCAGCTTGGCTTGGCAGGTCAGGTGGGCTCTCATGTATCCACCTGTGACTCAGTATGCAGGAGAGGGCTCGGGCCACAGCAGTGTAATTTGAACTCATTTTGGAAAGCCAGAAGTTCAACTGACATTTTGCAAAATCAATTAACTTTAAAACCATGATAACATTGGGGGCGATGATGGCAGATGGTATTTAATACTGCCTCAGCTTTACCCCCTACAGCAATATTATTCCCTAACACTATTTCAGTCTCATTTATCTCCTGCGTTAAAATGCCACGGCTAAAAAATATGTCAAAAGCTCATCAGAATATCCAGGGTAGCTTTTAATTATGATAATTGTGTTGTTATAAAATATCCTTTTAAAAAAGCACATCCCTCCTCAAACCACCCCGGAGGTAGAACCCAGCTTCTTTCCAGCAAGCTTAATGAATAATTCTGAATCATTGTGTGGGATGAATAAATGATTTCATAAGGAACATCAACAATCATCTCACATTGTTGCATTAATTTCTAAATGGGATGAGGTAGATGAGGAGGAGGGGTGTTATTGTACAATGGGCCACCGCGTGTGTAGGGATGTGATCTCTGAATCCAAGCCTGCAATCTCCCAGCTCAGGTTTCCCTAGAAACGGGTGCATTCTTCTCTCTTTCTGGAGCTCAGTAAGAACGTTGTCGACCGCAGCACAAATAAAGTTATCAGGGCAGGACAGGTGCACAGATGTGAAGCTGCTCCCATTCTATTGTCTTCTCTTCGCTGTGCCTAAGGGGGAACAATTTCATCACTGTCCTTGGGATGTTGAAATTGGTTTTCCCCTTAATTCACCTGATACCTAGTTGGAGTTGCAAAGGTAGATAGTAGATAATGTAATCTTGGTTGAACCTGGCCATTGTCTCTGTCCCTTGTGCCTTTTTCAGCAGAAGGTTAATATGTGACCCAGCTAATATGGATTGCAATTTAAAAACTCAGTCTTAAAAAATAGAAGTCTAGCCCCGGCCGGTTTGGCTCAGCAGTTGGAGCCTCAGCCTATGGACCAGAGAGTCCTGGGTTCGGTCCCGAAGTCTAACTCGTTAACTGTTTGCCTTGATGTCTCCATACCTTTCCTTGTTTTCGCTCTCAGCAGAGAGTAGAACCATGTACAAGCAAATTTGGCAATTATGAAAAATCCCAATAAGTTGAACTGTCCTACAAAAGTTAATGAGTACTTTCACAGAATTATAGTTTCATCTCTAGTATTTATGCTTAAAAACAAATAAACAAACTAGAGAGAGAGAGAGCTCTTAGCCCAAGGTTATGGTCTTAGAATTTCAGTTTTAAAGAACAAAAAGGTTAGTTTCCAGGGATCACTTTATAGGAAAAATAAAACATCAACTCTTACTCTAACATCTTACTGCATTGTGCTGGAATCATTTTACATCCTGGTTTCTTTCCGGAAGTGGGATCCCAGCTTTGCTCACCTTTGTAAGCCCAGCCCCTAGCTGAGACTGTCACATAGCAGCCCCTCAATAAATAAGAATTGGTTTAAACTTTCCTGGGCAGTGTGGCTCAGTGGTTGAGTGTTGACCCTTGCATCAAGAGGTCGCTGGTTGGATTCCCGTCAGGGCACATGCCCAGGTTGTGGGCCCAATCCCCAGTGGGGGGCATGCAGGAAACAGCCAGTTGATGTTCTCTCTCATTAATGTTTTTATCTCTCTCTCCCTCTCCCTTCCTCTCTCTCTAAAAATCAATAAAGAAAAAAAAATTAATTTGAGTCAGACCTATTCATGAGCAAAATCATAGGTAATGTCCATATTACCTGTGGATTGGTGTTGACCAGCTGACTCTTGGATGGGAAGTGCATTTCCCTAGACTGGGGCTGGCAAACTTGCAAACTTTCTGCAAAGGTCAGAAATGCTGGACTAGTCTCTGTAGCAGCTACTGAACTCTGCCTTGTAGCATGAAAGTCACAGGGGATTCCTGAGCAAGTGTTCAGTAAAACTTTATTTACAAAGCAGGCAGTGGGCTTACGTTTCCCACCCTTGGCTTAGAGAAATGTTTCCGTTACAATGTCACTGTGGCTCTCCCCGTGACC